GTTTTTAAGAAGAGACTGGACAGCCATTTGTCCGAAATGGTGTAGGGTTTCCTGCCCGAGCAGGGGGTTGGACTAGATGACCTCCAAGGTCCCTTCCAACTTTATTATTATTATTATTATTATTATTATTATTATTATTATTATTATTATTATTATTATTATCTATATATCATATCATATCTGTCTGTCTCTCTATCATATCTCTCTATTTATCGCTATCATCTATATATCATATCTGTCTGTCTCTCTATCATATCTCTCTATTTATCGCTATCGTCTATTTATCATAGATGATAGATGAGCCCTGGTGGCGCAGTGGTTAGAATGCAGGACTGCAGGCTAATTCTGCTGACTGCCAGGAGTTTGATCCTCACCAGCTCAAGGTTGACTCAACCTTCCCTCCGTCCGAGATCGGTATAATGAGGACCCAGATTGTTGGGGGGCAACGTGCTGACTCTGTAAACCGCTTAGAGAGGGCTGCAAAGCACTGTGAAGCAGTATATAAGTCTAAGTGCTATTGCTATTGTTCAGGACCTGACTTGGAATGAATTGCTCTTTTGCCAATTTCCCCCTGGAAATTGTTGGAACGCCAAGAAGGACAAAGCATTGATCTCAAATCAAAGCAGACAGTGGGACAAGGTTGCAGCCTTGTCCCATGATGGAAAACTGGACCTTGCAGATCCTTCAAATGTGCTCTCCAAATGTTCTTTCCAGCTGAAGCTGTTCTTCTTCTGTTTTTTTTTTCTTAACAACCCTTAAAAAGTTTAAATGCTGGTTAGCTTTTCATCTTTCTCCCACAAGAATCAAACAGATTTTCTACCACCCACAGTTCCTGTCTCATCCTCCAGCCCATCAGCGTGATAAAAGAGGATTTTGACATCCCCAATTTTCTTGACGGATCTGTCGCTCACCAGCTTGCCAACCTTCCTTCGCCCTCTCACCCGTTTCATCCCCTTGGCTCAGCCTCTTGTTACAGTATTAATTAAGAGATATTCATCTCCTTTTTAAACAAAAAAAAATATTTTTCTTCCCAACTATGGTTGCCAAGTTTGATTGAAGAGTTGCCATGAAAATCCTTGCAATGTAAAGACTGATGTAAAAGAATATCCAAGCCAATAAACACAAGAATAAACCTCAGAAAATTGGGAACTCGAGGCAGATAGGTGGTTTTGAACTCTGGTGTTGGAGAAAACTCTGGAGAACATGATGGACAACCAACAAATCAGTCCAGAGTAGTTACACAAGGTGCCAGGCTCAAACTATTGTATTTTGGACATATTACGTCCAGATCTAATTCCTATGTGAAGCCCGTAACATTGGAAAAGGTGGAAGGAAAAAAAGGAGAATGACCAGCAGCAAAGGGAATGGACTCCATGATAGTAGCACCATTAGAACATCTGAAGGACCAGGGGTCAGGGACATGGTGTGTGTGAGTGTGTGTGTGTGTGTGCATATGTGTGCATGTATCATCTTGATGAAGGTCTATCTGTGAACAGGCAGCTCTTGGCTTACAACAGTTCATTTAGTGTCCGTTCAAAGTTACAACGGCACTGGAAAAAAAAAGTGACTTAGGACCATTGTTCACAGTTACAACCTTTGCGTACGTCCAACTGACAAATCCAACAAAGTAAGCACAGCTGACACGATCTGATCTCTAATGCAAAACTGTATTGGGTAAATCATTTTGGCACACCCCTGCCCTAGCCCCTGGCTCACCCCGCAGGACGAGCCTCCTGCCCATCGCCCCACCTACCAGAGGCCCCCTGGATCTACCCCAATCCTGCCCAGACCCCACAGGCATCTCACCCACGAGCAACATCAAGGTGGCCACGCCCACCCCGGCCATGCCCACTCACTCTGCTGTGACCATCACAGCCATGCCCACCCAGTGGGCCACCCCCACCCCCCTGAGGGCATCACAATGCTGATGGGGCCCTGGCACTTTGCGATAAATAAGTGGGTTTTGGGTTGCAGTTTGGGCACTGGGTCTCTAAAAGCTTCGCCATCGTTGGGCTAACCAAAACTCCAATCTAACACCCAGAATAAAAAAAATAAAAATTGCAATTCTTCCTATGCACAGCATCTGAACAGGAATGGGAGGCTTAAATATTGACTCCCATTGCACTTGTCTGCGTGTTAATCTGGAAGCTATTCCTGAAGTGTAGTTCACTGCTTCCTCAGCAACAGGAATCGTATTCTGAACATCCAACTGAGTTGGGTTCAAACAAAACCCTAAGCCATAAACCAAAGTCTACAAACTTGAATGGTTGAATTCATGCTCATACTAAGCTGAAACTAACAAAGCAAGTATTACACAGAAGGACACTGGGCTTAATTGCTGTTTTTGTTCTTCACTGGGATTTCTGACTTTGCAGAATAACTACTTTGAGCAGGGGGTGTCCAAATGGAAATGTATTTTAGTTATAGGAAAAATATTTTCTTATAGGATAATTAAAAGCTCCTAAAATCAACCCAGAGCAACTTAACACAAAAGGAAGGCAGTTAAGTACAATTCCCAAGCCAAAAGATACAGTAGTTAAAAGGGGTGAGATTTATGTTCCTGTGGAACAGGAGCTTCCTAAATAAGGAGGCCTTAACCAAGACAAGGAGAGTTTATATCTTCAGACTTGCAAGATTGATGTCAACCCTTTCAGGGAAACCAGGTAGAAAACATGCCTAAACGAGATAATTCAACTTTATTGTACGGGTACATTATAGAATCTTTCAAGTCTCAAATTAAATGTAAAGGTGGGCATCGTGTTTAGAGGCATGTGAGCCTCATATTAAAAAAGAAGAAGGTAGCATACATGCTTGGTTAGAAAAGATATTGGGAGAACATGTAGACTTTAAACCTGAATTTTTCTTACTAGGTATAACGCCAGAAAAGATTAACAAACAAAGTCTATACTTGATTTTACATATCACAACAACTGCAAGAATAATGTTTGCGCAATATCGGAAAAATGAAGGAACACCACCAGAGGAAGAAATAATTTAAAAAATACTGGAATGCGCATAGATGGATAGATTGACTATGAGATTGAAAGAAAAAGAAGAAACAGAATATTACCAAACTTGGGACTTATTCTATCCACGGTGAGAGGAAAGAATGAAGGATTAGGAATTAAATATGTATTAGCATTTTCAAACTCAGACAGCACGTTGGTTGAAAAATTATTATATGTATGTAAGAAAAAATCAATAAAATCTTATTAAAAAAAGAAGAAGAGGAGGAAGAAGGAACAGATCAGGCCCAAGGCTTTTAAGGTATCCAGAACAACTCAGTATCTTGAGCCAAACGCTTCTTTCTCTAAGCTGGAAATAAGCTTCTGCTACCTTTGAGATTTTTACTCTTGCAGTTTGCAATTCTCAGGCACCAGGGACACCTCCCCATTTTCGGATGAGCTGTTAGGACAGGGGGGAAATTAGAAATAAAAACAAATGGAGCCAGAGAGAATAGTGTGAATCAGTTAAAAGCAGGTTGATTGATTTTATAGGACAGTGATGGCGAACCTTTTAGAGACCGAGTGCCCAAACTGCAACCCCAAACCCACTTATGCATCGTCGAGTGCCGGGTGGGTGTGGCCCATTGGGTGGGTGTGGCCCATTGGGTGGGCGTGGCTGCCGTGGTAACGGCAGACTGGGTGGGACTAAAAAGTTCAATCGATCAATTCCAACTTTGCGAGATCTTTTTTTTTTTTCCGCAAGAAGTTGAAATTGATTGATTGATTGAACCTTTTTTTTTTTTTTTTGCACATGGCAGCGGAGGCCTAAAGCGAAAAGGTTTATAAAACCCAGCTGAAGGCCTAGGACTGGGCCAACGGTGCGCATGCCCACAGAGAGGGCTCTGAGTGCCGCCTCTGGCACCCGTGCCATAGGTTCGCCACCACTGTGTTAGGAGAACCAAACGAACAAAGTTTACGTGGCTGCTTTTCCTATCTTATCCATCCCCTTTCTTGGGGTGGAAAGCAACCACGAAAGTCAACTCTTTTCCAAAGAGCTGGTGTGTTTTAAGCAGCTCTCCTGTGAATACTTTCTTTTCTCACCCCCAATTTAGAAGAGGAAGGGGACACAATTTTTCAAAGTTTCTGTGCTGTTTCTCCAAAGAGAAACCCTACTTCAGTGGTGGCAAACCTATGGCATGGGTGCCAGAGGCGGCACTTGGAGCCCCCTCTGTGGGCACACGCGCCGTTGCCCCAGCCTCGCCTCCCGCCGTGACCCCCTCCTCTCCACCAGCCCCCCGGAGGAGAGTCGCCCCCAAGCATGGCCCACAGGGAGCAGCACAGCCAAGGACATGGCAGCCAGGCAGCGTAGACAAGACTCTGTCTTCATGCCCCATCCCGCACAGTTGATGCTGCGGGGCGCGGGCAGAGGGCGTGGCTGCCATGGCACAGCTGGGCTGCCTGGGCGATCTGCGGGGGGCCCTGGAGGCGGTGAGTGGCCCTGTGGGCAGGTGGGGTGGGGGACAGGACAGGGGGCAGGGGGTGGAGCAGGGGCGGGGCCAGTTTTGGGGCACTCGGTCTCTAAAAGGTTCGCCATCACTGCCCTACTTATTTCGGATGCAATAACCGAAAGAGGGAAAACGCCAGGTTAGGGTCTTTCTACAATAGCTGTGAAGCAAAATTTTTTGCTGCTAGCAAATTTTTGCTAAGCAAAAATCAAGTGTGAAGGACTCAAGAGTTTCCCAATGAGCTAAAGGCCCCCCTGCAGATTGTCACCAGAAGTGGGGAAGGGAGCAATGGGGCCACTCTGGTCGCTTGTTCTGGGATCCCTGCAACTCACCTGGCTGAAAATCAGAGGTGGGAGCTTTTCAACCTATTAAGGAGCCGGCAGTTTAAATGGAATGACCATTTATCCTTTTTCAATATGTTTTTTTTTTTTCCCCCGCTTTCCTTTTTCAGCGGGAGGTTTGGCAAGGCTTCCCTTGCAACCAGTTGGGAAATATAAACAGCGGGCCCTTTAAAGAAGGAGAAAAGAGTCTGCGTTTTGGAAAAGCTCACCTCGTAATGGTAATTCATGCATGTCAAATCTTTCCAGCAACGGTCCCCTCGCATTTTAATCATCCCCTGTGAGAGGGGGAAAAAAAACAAAAAACGACAGCGGAGATTAGTACTTGCACTTCCATTCTGAGGAAATTTGGAACAAAATTATACATTCCTGCAGATGTTAATATACAATGAATATATTTAATATATTATTACGACATGTTTAACCCTAACCCTAACCTCCACTTATGACCACACCTGAGCCCAACGTTTTGGTTCTTAAGCGAAACATTCATGAAGTAGATTTTGCCCGATTTTGCCACCTTTCTTCTCACCGTTGTTAAGTAAATCACCGAAGCCGTTAAGTCAGTAATGCGGTTGTTAAGTGAATCTGGCTTCCCCCATTGACTTTGCTGGCCAGAAGGTCACAGGAGGGGAGCTCACCACCCCGGGAGACGGCGACCGTCATAAATATGAGTCAGTTGCCAAGCGTCTGAATTTTGATCACATGGGGATGCTACAAGGGTGAAAAATAAATCACTTTTTTTCAATCCCGTTGTAACTTGGAACAGTCACCAAATGAGTCAAGGACTGCCTGTATTGCCGGCTGGTGAGAAGCCTGTAACAATCTGGTCAGGTTGAGCAGCTAAATCAGGACAGATCTGATTAACGACGAGGGAGGACATGATAGCAGTCTTCCAGTATTTCAGGGGCTGCCCCAAAGAAGAGGGAGTCAAGCTATTTTCCAAGGCGCCTGAAGGCAGGACGAGGAGCAATGGATGGAAACTCATCAAGGAGAGAAGCAACCTAGAACTAAGGAGAAACTTCCTGACAGTGAGAACAATTAACCAGTGGAACAACTTGCCTCCAGAAGCGGTAAATGCTCCAGCACTGGAAGTTTTTAAGAAGAGACTGCACAGCTATTTGTCCGAAATGGTGTAGGGCAGTGGTTCTCAACCTGTGGGTCGGGACCCCATTTGGGGTTGAACGACCATTTTACGGGGGTCGCCAAACAACGCAGTCCGCCATTTTTTCCCCCTTTTCCTTAGCTGTGCTACTCCCTTTTATTCTATTGGCTTTCGAAAGCCAATAGAATAGACTATCTTGAATAGAGTCTAATTCTATTGGCTTTCAAAAGCCAATAGGAATTGTCCAGGCTGTCTCTGCCCTGCTGAGCCCGCCAAAAGTCCCATTCTGCAAACAATGCTGCACCAGTTGAGTAGTCCTCGACTTACGACCAGTTGAGTAGTCCTCGACTTACGACCGGTTGGGGGTCACGGCATTAAAAAGGTTGAGAACCACTGCTCTAGGCAGTTTATCACGAATACTCCTAATATTTCTGATTCTTATTTTCCTCACAGGTGGGTTGGGCTGAGAGAGAGCAACTGGCTCAAAGACCCCCACACTACAGCTAGAACTCGTCCTCCCCTGGTTTCTTATGTATCTTAATCTACCCCCAGGCCAAGCTGTCCAGCCTCACCCCTCCTGCACCCCCACCCCAGGAACAATGGAGCTTTTTGCTGCCTACCAAGCAGCTACTTTGCCTTGCATTCAAATCAGCCAGCCAGGCAAACAATATTTGCAAACCCCACTTTCAGCAGCCAAGTGACCGTTATGTGGCCTTCTCCTTGTCGCAATGCAACCATTTCAGTGGCTCAGCTCTGGATTGGAAGGATCTCACCAGAGCACTGGTGTACGTTCAAAACCTCCATCCGCACAGTGCCCTGAACTGCACAGCTCACAAGCTTGATTAATTAACCCTTGTTTATTCGGCCTTAGCACGCTGTGGAATTCGGAGCATTAGTCTAACCCAGCGGTTCTCAACCTTTGTGTGACGGCGACCCCTGTCACACGGACGCGCCGCCGCCCCCATGCGTGGCACACATGCGCGGCACCGCCCCATGTGCAGCACGCATGCGCGGCACCGCCCCGAGGGAGGAAAATGGCGGATCGCGTTGTTTGGCGACCCCCGTAAAATGGTCATTCGACCCCAAATGGGGTTGCGACCCATAGGTTGAGAACCGCTGGTCTAACCTGTCTCCCCATCAATATCCTTCCAGGTGGGGCAATTTAGCTCTGCTCTGCATCTTTCCTCGGGTCTAAAAAGTCCATCTTAGTTTTCCTTCTGTTTAAACAGTTCCATTTTTACCTATTGTGTGTTCACTTGTTTTGACGGATGGCCTTACGGTGGCAATAAAGATTTGCTTTGGGATTTACCTGGCTGTGGAAATTGGTTTTCAACCGATGAGTCGCCAAGATCATTTTTTAATTGAATTTATTTAGTTTTAACCATCCAGAGTTGCTGGGTGTAGGGTGGCTGACATTTTTAATAAGTTTTAAATTTATTGACAAATTTATTGATATTAACTAACAGTTTTACATTGAATAAGCAAATTGTTTGTTTTCAACATGTTTTTGAAAATGTCACTTTCTTAAGGTCGCTTAAAACACTGTTTCTAAAATGTTCAAATAAAGAAAAACAATGATGTAGTTAATGGCTGTGGAGAAGATCAGAAGTATAATATAAATCAATCAATGAACAAATTGAATAGGAAGAAAGATTAAAAGGTCTTACGACTCCTCACAATGCTATGTGTTGCATTATATTTTATTCTGACATCTGTCAATCCCTGTCACCACAAACCTTTGAAAAATATTTGAGACCCACTCATTTCCCACCAATTCTTTTTGAGCTGTGATCTTACAGATTGCCATAGTTTACTGGCATCAATCTGTTAAGAGAATAGAAAAATGTCTGTTTTATTGTTGTCGCACATTAATTATTTTTACATATTTGCATTTTTATTTAAGCATGCTAAAGAAACCAAGACTGGGACACCTTACCATTTCAATCAGAAAGGAAGATTTTCTCCCCTAAATAATTAACTTTTAAAAAGGCAGGACTGAGAATTTGCTGAGAGTATGTTCAGGGAGGCAGGCATATGTCTTTCAGGCACACTTCCTTTTGGGACTGTTTGAATTATCTTGTCTGGGCTTAGAAGGAAGGTAGGGTGGAGTTTGATTAGGACTCGGATGGGAGACCACAAAGAAATCCCAGGCAGAGTGGAATAGTAGGAAAGAAAGTCCCAGAAATATAAATGGCAAACCATTTTTACATGGAACTGCAGCCAAGAAAACTCCATGGAAGGGCAATCCTTTCTCTGGTGGGGTTTAGTAAATGTCTTCTGAATGTGGAACACCTTAATTTCACAACTGTGTTGCAAATGCAAAGCATCTGACAATGTGCACAGGAATAATTGCCTTTTCTCAGGCTTATTTTGTTGTTGAAACACACCCATTTCTAGCCCTGACATTCTGGGGGGGGGGGCATGTCCCTTAAAACGAAGTCCTTCATCACCAGCTGTACCCAAGTATTCCTAAGCCCCATCTCAGGAATGCTTCGTCCACATACACACTGGCATCTTTTCCACTTTGGAGTGTCCCTTTCAGTTGCCAGGGACAGCCTGGAATTTTAATGCCAGCCTGATCCTGAAATTCAATGTTTTTAATGTGGCCTTGCTAGAAAAGAAGTAAAACAAAGAAACAAGCGGCCCAATTCCAACATATATGTATTCAGCTAAACTAGACAGTGTTAATAATAATGATAATAATAAAAGTTGGTGGTCATGGAGTCCAACCCCCTGTTCAGGCAGGAAACCCTACACCATTTTGGACAAATGGCTGTCCAGTCTCTTCTTAAAAACTTGTGCTCCAGTGTTGGAGCATTCACAGCTTCTGAAGGCAAGAAGTTCTATTGGTTAATTGTTCTAACTGTCAGGAAGTTTCTCCTTAGTTCTAGGTTGCTTCTCTCCTTGGTTAGTTTCCATCCATTGCTTCTTCTCCTGCCTTCAGGCGCTTTGGAGAATAGCTTGACTCCCTCTTCTTTGGGGCAGCCTCTGAGATATTGGAATACGGCTTTCATGTCCCCCCTCGTCCTTCTCTTCATTAAACTAGACATACCCAATTCCAGCAACCATTCCTTATATGTTTTAGCCTCCAGTCCCCTAATCATCTTTGTTGCTCTTCTCTGGGCCACATATTGTGTGTATGCATGTGGGTATATGCATAACTTATTTCATTTATTTATTTTTTGTCACGTTTATGCAGAGTATATCGGGGGTGGTGATCCTTTGAGAACTGAATGCAATGAAATTTCATCTTAAGGAAAATACATACATACATTTTAATGTGAAATTTGGATGCCTAACAAAGAGTTAAAGGGGAGCTGGTATAACTATTTCAAGCTCCTTTGCTCTCATCAGCCAGCTACACCTTCTGAGATTCGAACATGGGCTGCTTGCACATTAGGCAGCTGTGTTGAGACCGGGTGCATCGTAAAAAAGACTTAAGACATACATTTTAATGTATGTATGCATACATTTTGTTAAGTGAGTTTTGCCCTGTTTTACAGCCTTTCTCGCCGCAGCTGTCACGTGAATCACTGCAGTTGTTAAGTGAGTAACATGGTTGTTAAGTGAATCAGGGTTCCCCATGGGCTTTGCTTGTCAGAAGGTTGCAAAAGGGGATCGCGTGACCCCGGGACACTGCGACCGTCATAAATGTGAGTCGGTGGGCCAAACTATGTGAATTTTGATCACGTGACCACCACAGGGATGCTGCAATCGTGGTACGTGTAAAAAATGGTCATAAGTCACTTTTCTCAGTGGTGTTGTAACTTGGAACCGTCACTAAATGAACAAGTCAAGGACTCCCTCTTTGTAGCCCCTCCCTGTGATGATGGTCAGATCTGGTAATGAATGACATCCTGCCATGTGATGGGGAAGCCCCTCTTTCTGGTCTGAAAATCCGCTTCCATTCACCTGAACTGAAGGATTTTTGGAGAGTCCTCCATTTCATGAATAAAATATATCCGTCACTTTCTCCACGTCGCACATAATTTTCATGCTTCCCATAAAACATTTCCACCGTGACGCACTTACCGCTCCGAGCATGATTCTGAAAATAAGCCAACGATAGGCCCAGATGACAATAAAGGAAGGGGGTGTGTCCTTGGCCAGCCGGGAGAGAGTCCACAAAGGACACAGGAAGATTGCCAAAAAACCCGTTTCCAGAAGCTGCGATTCCCAACCTAGAAAGAACGACGGAGAATGCGTCAGATTACTGCAAAAATAAGGCACGTTATTGATGTAGCTTGCAGTGATGTAGGCTAGGACCTCATAAAGCATCTGAAAGGGACACATTGCAAAGCACAGGGGAAAGGTCCCTCTTTGGAGTTGTACGCTAACAATGGCATTTGACTCTCTGGGGAGTGGTTTGGACAAAACTCAGCAGCACTTTTTCGTGCGGCTGCTGATAAAAACAGGATCAACAACAGGATCGCCAACGTCCGATAACGGATATGGCACAAGAAGAAGAAAAAAATAAAATAAGCATGAATGTAAAGGTTGGATGCATGTAGTCCTCTGCTTATGACCACAATTGAGTCTCACATCTCTGTTGTTTAATGAGACATTTGTTAAGTGAGCTTTGCCCCATTTTTACAACTTTTCTTGGCACAGGGGTTCAGTGAATCACTGCAGTTAAGTTAGTAACCCGGTTGTTAAGTGAATCCGTCTTCCCATGGACTTTGCTTGTCGGAAGTTCGCGAAAGGGGATCACGTGACTCCAGGGCACTGCAACTGTCGTAAGTACATGCCAGTTGCTAAGTGTCTGGATTTTGATCACGTGACTGATCACGTTGCTGCGATGGTTTTAACTGTGAAAAATGGCCATACGTCACATTTTTCAGTGGCGTTGTAACTTGGAATGGTCACTAAATGAACTGTTGTTAAGTCAAGGACTACGTATACTTATAAGGAAGGTGCTTAGAATGCTGCATTGAAAGAGGTTACAGCCCCTCGTCAGCAAAGTTCTGGTGGCAATGCGTACTTATAGGACCATCGAAGGAGATGGCTTGGGACATTGAACCTGACAGGATGACACAATGAAGAGCAGCACATTTGAGAGGTGACGGAACACCACAGATATGCAAAGAAATAGCCACACGTGTTTTTTTTTTAAAAAAAACAAATTAACATATATATCAACTTCCTACTTCATTGGGGTGATACCACCCAGGATTTTGCTTCTTTTCCAATTGCACTCAGACACCTGTCAGGCAGGAAGAGAACAATTCCACCCAATCTCAGGCAAAGGGCAACTCTTTGCATAAAATTTACCTGCCAACAATGGCAGAATATCCAAATGATTCTTAAGAAAGGTGAGGGTGGCAGAGTAAAACAATCGAGCAGCTAAGTCAGCGGCCGGTCACCTCTGCTTTAAAGAAGCAATACAACACTGTCTTGGGAAACACACACACACGTTTTTTTCAGACAACCATGTTGATGGAGAAACTCAATGTTATACATGTTCTAATTATATATAAATCCACATTCATCAGTCTGGTACTCCACAGGCCTTAAGACTAGAGTTGGAAGAATGGCTCCCTCTTCCCTCCTCTTAAATGTTAAAACATTCCTGACAGGTAAATTGGGTACCATTTCAGAACTGTCCTCTTATGTATGAATTTTACAACAGCAACAGCACTTAAGACTTATATACCGCTTCACAGTGCATTACAGCCCTCTCTAAGCCGTTTTACAGAGTCAGCCTATTGTCTTCAACAATCTGGGTCCTCATTTTACCAACCCCGGAAGGATGGAAGGCTGAGTCAACCTGGAGCTGGTCAGGATTGAACTGCTGGCAGTGGGCAGAATTAGCCTGCAATACTTCATTCTAACCACTGGGAGGGAGGGAGGGAAGGAAGGAAGGAAGGAAGGAAGGAAGGAAGGAAGGAAGGAAGGAAGGAAGGAAGGAAGGAAGGAAGGAAGGAAGGACAATAGCAATAGTACTTAGACTTATATATTGCTTCACAGTGCTTCACAACCCTCTCTAAGCGGTTTACAGTCAGCCTATTGCCCCTCATTTTACCGACCTCGGAAGGATGGAAGGCTGACTCAACCTTGAGCCGGTGAGAATCAAACTCCTCGCTGTGGGCAGAGTCAGCCTGCAATGCTGCATTCTAACCACTGTAACACAACAACTCTCAGAAACCCATCCAGGGATGCAAAAAGGAATTGGACACAGAGCAAGAGTAGGCAATTTAGACAGCAGCCATGATGATGATGATGATAATGATGATGATGGTGATGATGATGTCCGACTCTTGGCAATTCTATGGGCCAGGTCACTCCACATCTTCTGACCTTGCGCTAATTCTCTGAGCTGTTCTATGCTCTGGCTGGGGTCAGTTTTGATGGTGCTGACCTGAAGATATTGCCATATGGCTTGATCCCAGCCTGCAGCTGAATTGACCGGCAGCCAGACCACAATTACTATTCATACAGAGACGCAACAGGCAAACTCATGGGTCTATGTAAGTGGAGAAAAAAACTGAAATTTATGGAGGACTTTTTTTCTGATTGGAAACCCGGTCAGCTTGCCATAGGATGTCCCTCTGACCAGAAGTCTGAGGAGTACCGGTTGAAGTCATTAGGCAGTTGTGAAACTGGATTGCTCCAGGTTTCAGTCCTTTGAAGATCAGAATAGAGCTGGAAGGGACCTTGGAGGTCTTCTAGTCCAACCCCCTGTTCAGGCTGAAGACCCTATACCATTTCAGACAAGTGACTGTCCAGCCTCTTCTTAAAAACCTCCAGTGATGAAGCACCCACAAAATGTTGAGACTCTAGAAAGAGGGCAGAGAAGAGCAACAAAGATGATTAGAGGACTGGAGGCTAAAGCATATAAGGAACGGCTGCTGGAATTGGGTAGGTCTAGTTCAGGGGTAGGCAACCTCGGCTCTTTTATGACTCATGGACTTCAACTCCCAGAATTCCTGAATCAGCATAGTTATGCTGACTCAGGAATTCTGGGAGTTGAAGTCCATGAGTCATAAAAGAGGCGAGGTTGCCTAACCCTGGCCTAGTTTAATGAAGAGAAAGACGAGGGATGACACGATAGCAGTGTTCCAATATCTCAGGGGCTTCCCCAAAGAAGAGGGAGTCAAGCTATTCTCCAAAGCACCTGAAGGCAGAACAAGAAGCAATGGATGGAAACTAATCAAGGAGAGAAGCAACTTAGAACTAAGGAGAAACTTCCCGACAGTTAGAACAATTAACCAGTAGAACAACCTGCCTCCAGAAGTTGTGAATGCTTCAACGGTGGAAGTTTTTAAGATTAGACAACCATTTGTTTGAAATGGTATAGGGTTTCCTGCCTGAGCAGGGAGTTGGACTAGAAGACCTCCAAGGTCCCTTCCAACTCTGTTATTCAATTTTAACTTCCCACTAGCTTGATAATCAAATAAAGAAACAGATAACGAGAAGAGAGATCTACACTATACTTCATTTTTTGTTGTTGTTCTGATAAGTATGCAACTTGTTTCCTACACCTGAACCTCAATTATTGTTTTCTCCTTTGTGGCTGAGCTCTGATTATTAAAAGGGAGAGGAAGAACGCTCATTTTATCCACAAACATCCTGTAGCTTCTAGGAGATAATTCGGTGCCAAAGTCAGCTTTTTCAGATTGGGGGGGGGCTCCACAAACGCCCAATTTGCAGTTGCATAAGCCCCAGCAGCTGCATCAAACAAGGATGGTGCCGTCCACCAATGAGAAAAGTTAATTGTACTGGGGAGGGTGAGCAAAAGGCCCGTCCTGCGCTCCGAACATCGAAGGGAGGGCCGTCTTGTGCATCTGACCTAGGCTACACAAGAATCCCACTGTTCCGGGCCTTTCACATGCTAATCACCACAACTTGAGTCCAAAGACACAAGTGCACATGCTAGATCTGCCACGGCAAGTTATTCCTCTCCCTTCTCACATTCCTCCACAGGGTCTCATGGGGCACATCTGTGACTCCCCCTTCCTTCTCACACATGCCCCTCCACCCTGTTCTCAGCTGCCTGAGCCCCTGCCAGGATGCCCCCCCCCAATGCATGTGTGGGTTCCATGCATATCGTTCTCACAGAAGGCCTGTCTTTGGGGGCCAGGGACTTGAGCCTCGGGGTGCCCCTTTGTCAGGGTGGGGAAGCTGAGCCCGAAGCATGTGGATCCTTAAGCCCTGCTCCCAACGGAAGCAGAAAAGGCAGCGGTGGGTGGGGGGTTCTGGAGTCATTGGAGGGGGGCTGCTAAATTGGGGCCCCAACAGACTGGGAAGGGGCTGGATCAGATCTGCCTTCCTTTCCTCCTGTTATAGGGCAATGGGGAAGGGGCCCCTAACTCCAAGTCTCTTTGGCAAGGGGGCCTTTGACCTTCTGCCCCACGAACCCCAACGGGAACCTCCTGGAATTCTAAGAAATTCATCGGCCATTTGGCTTGGACAGGCCTCCAGCCAAGCTCTTGCCACCCCACCTGCCAGCCTGGCTCCAGAACTGAATTCCTGGCACCACCAAACTCCTCTGGGGTCGGTTCCAAGTTGCTCGGTGCCAGGATTTATTTCCAGTGTGTTTGGGGAGAGGGGGGGGGGGTTCCATGCAGCTGGGAAAGGAGGTGGGGTAGGAAATCTCTTCCAATCAGCCTGATGGGGGCAGGGGGCGCTCCTCCAGCTGTTTCCCTTCTTTAAGGAGAAGACAGGGAATTTAAAGCTACCCAGCAGAGATGGCTCTCAGCCACAGCTCCCCTCCGGAGGGAAGAGGGGTGGGTTGCATCTTTCAAACAGTGCCCAATCCACCATCACTGCGGGAGGGGGCATTGGGAGCAGAACACAAGGGTCATGACCCCATCGCGCCAATCATAGGACTTTGTGCTAGGACACGTGGCGCAAGGGCCTAATTCAGTGGTTCTCAACCTGTGGGTCGGGACCCCATTTGGGGTCGAACGACCATTTCACGGGGGTCGCCAAACAATGCAGTCCGCCATTTTTTTCCCCTTTTCCTTAGCTGTGCTACTCTCTTTTATTCTATTGGCTTTTGAAAGCCAATAGAATAGACTCTCTTGAATAGAGTCTAATTCTATTGGCTTTCAAAAGCCAATAGGAATTGTCCAGGCTGTCTCTGCCCTGCTGAGCCCGCCAAAAGTCTCGTTCTGCAAATGGTGCTGCACCAGTTGAGTAGTCCTCGACTTATGACCGGTTGAGAACCACTGGCCTAATT